CGAGGTCCCTTCCAGGCCTTGTTGTCTCTGATTCTACATTTCTAACACAGCAGTAGATAGGGCAAGAAGCAGAAAGCAGAGCAGGGCATCAGGAGTGGCAGATCTGGCAGAAGAAGGGAACTGTGGTGGTGCTCTGGGGGGTGCAGGGCTAATCTGTGGCATGTAGGCCAGAAAGGTTGGCCCCACTTCTGTACAGCACCCCTTGATTTCCAGGGATGCTATTCTTCAAACTTCCCACCCTCCATGGAGCTACGCTCAGCTTCAGCAGCCCGCGGTCCGTTCATTCATCCTCTGCCCCATGGATATTTCGTGGCCTTTCATCACTGGTCCATGGACATCAGTGGTGAGAAGCAATCTCTCTTGCACTGTATTCAGGGCTCTGGGGTCTGCCTCCCACAGGCTACGAAGCCTGGGGCAATCTGGCCCCGTCTGAACCGTGCACAAAGAAGCAGCCCTGCTGCCGATTCAGACCCCAGGGAAGCCCGCATTGCAGGACGTAACTACAGACTAGCAGCAATGAGCAGCAGTAATGATACGCATGAGGCCACGGTGTATTCCTGTGCTTATTTTATTGCAAGGTGAGTGACTGCTCTACCATCCAAGGTCTCCGCCTCGTCCGTCTGCTGGAGCTGCAGGGAGGATGCCTGCAGTCCAGTCGGGCCCTGCCGGGTCGCCAGCCTCCAGCCTCATTGTTTCGCCTGAAAGCAAACGAGGCGCCATGTCAATACAAGCAGGGGTGCAGCCGCCTGCTTTTCAAAGCACCGGCCCCGCGGTTCAATGGCCCTTGCACCAAGGGATCTGGACGCTGCGTGAAAGCGGACTCGGCGCTCACACCGGTCATGCCGGAGCTATGCCTTCCCCGTTTCTTCCGGCCGCTGAACCGGTGCTAGGAACACACCTGGGATGGCTTCGCTCTGGGCAACAGAGATACTCAGCCAGGACCCTCGTCTTGTTACTCCAGTGAGCCGCAGGCCAGAAACCCTCCCCGCTGGTGTGACGGGGACAGGGGCCGTGTTATACTGAGGGGGGTTGGTCACTTCTTGAGCTCGGGTTAAAAAATCCACGGGCAAAAGGAAAGTCAGAGCTGCAGTGAAGAAGGACACATCCAAGCAGACTCTGAAATGCATGGGGCTCCACATTAAAACTCCCCTCTTATTTGTACCGGGGGAGCTGGAGACCCCGATGAAATCCTTAGATCCTATTCAGACAAATGGCAAAACTGCCACTCATTTTAGCAGGCAAGGATGTCACCCCTGACACCTCCCAGGTTTCCACTGCAGGGCTGGCCTGCTCGTCTGGACTCCAATGCAGTCTCCCCGGCTCTGCTTGGGGAGCCCCTCACTGCATGGAGACCCCGGGAATGAGCCCTCTCCTGTCTGCTAATCCTGCATCGGCCCGGTAGCGAGGCTGAGAAGTGAAAGCACTCAGCTACATTGTGGGCTCCCCCTCTGCCCTGCAACATGTTGTGCTCATTTCTACGCTGCATAATTGGTACAAGAAAGTCTCCCCGCTTGCCCCGGGCAGTTTTGAGCTGCTGGAGCCTGGTCTTACATCATCCTTGTCGCAGCCGGGGGGGGCAGGGTGTCATTTAGATTCATAATGTTAAGGCCAAAAAAGAGCATTCAATCCTCCAAGCAAACCTCCTGTACAGCGCAGGCCAGGTTCCTCCAGCACAAAGCCCAGCAGCCGGTTTCACTAGCCGGTCTTCCAGAAAGGCAGCCCATCCGGGATTGACGACACCCACGACAGCCCAGCCCAGCTCCTAATGGAGAACTCACCCCACCAAGGTCGCGCTTACCACTATACTGCTGTCTTCAAACCCCTTGACAATGCCCTTGACGGCGGCATCGACAGCATCTTTATATCCACCGTTCAGTTTCTCAAGGTCTTCTGCATTGGCCTGGAGGTCGGGCAACGCACCGCTGGCTTCTGCAGGACAAAGAGGCCAAGTAAGCCCAAGCCCAGTGAGCTCAAATGGCCCCAGTGAGATGTGGAGACAGCAATGGGGGCTTGCAACGAGGCCCCTCTCCATGCAGACCCCGCCATGCCCGCGGCCACAAGGCCCCTGCTCAGCGTCAATGGGTCAGCTTCCCTCCCCAGGCCCAGTTCCTCTCCCCTTCTCCGCTCACCCTCCGTTTGGCATTCCCCAAACGCTCTGCCATCGAGACTCCCTTTGACCGATGAATGCAACCAGAAGCCCAGAGGAGGATGGCAAATGGTGCAGGCACCATCCCTCCCTGCTGTGTTCGTACAGCACCTAGCACAGCAGTGCCACGACTGGGCACGAATACAAGGGAACCGCCGTCAGCTCCTTTGCAATTACTCTAATCTTCCAGCTTCCTCTCTGTGAGTTTTCCCCACCTTGTCTGAACTCCCAACCCTTCTCCCCCTCTGCACCCCGAAGGGCACCGGGGCTGAGGCCTTTAGTGGACGAAGACAGAGGGTTGGGGGAGACATCGATCTCTCCCCAGTCCAGATCTTCTGTTCTCTGCCCAAACTCCCCCTTCTCCACCCCAGAGAGGACAAAAAGGGCTGCCTTCGTCCCCGACAGTGGCTGGATACCAGGTGAGCACCTGGCACACACCTCAGCCGACGGCACATGCACCATAGCCGTGAGCCCGAGACGTCGGTCACAAAGCAGTGGCTGGGCAGGCATCCCGGGTGCGTGTCGGGGGCTCCATACAAACGAGCTTCAGAAATCCTTGGAGCTTCCTATCGCCACTTACCAAAGACGCAGGACAGAGCCAGAATGAGCAGCAGGGCGAGTCCTGTCCCCTTCATGGCTGGGGCTAGGAGGAGTGGAGTTTAGCACTGGACCTCGGCAGTTCAGCCCCTCTTTTCTACACCAGCGCATCCGGTAGCGCATCCTTCTCCCGGCCTGCCCCCGGCGTGGCTGGCACCGGCTCAGCGTCTGCCCTTAGACAAATGCCACGGAGAAATGCTGGCCCGCGGCACTACATTGCCCGTGGAAATTAAGTTAATGTGCGTGCAAACTTCCCCTTCTATTTGCAGTCACCCGAAGGCAAGGACAGGCTGAGAAAAATCTCTCCAGCGGCCCCGAGCGGGGGGAGATTGATGAGTCTCCTGACGGCTGCCAGGTTCGGGACGGAGTCACGTCGGGTGGGTTTTTGAAGGGGAAAAGCAAGAAGTGACTCAGGGCACATCCACTGCGGCTTGCTGGGGGCTTGTGTACGTGCACAACAGTTGTGTGCATCGTGTGTGCGCGCTGCAGTGTGACCGAGGCCTGGACCGCACAGAGCACCAATATTCAGAGCTGAGCGCTTGGCTTCCCATGCAGGCGTCCCAGGGCATGTCACTTTGCTGCTGTTCTGGGATATTTGGCATTGAATGTGGTCTAGGAAGCCTGACCTCTGAGAAGAGAACTGGGTTGTTCTGTCAAGAGAGCCGGAGACAGAGGAAAGGCAGGGTAACAGTCTGCAAATATGTTAAAAGACCTGTCCCCATGCCCACTGCGGAGATGATAAGAAGCAGGTTTGAATGATGGCGTAGGAGGTGTAGGTTAGGCATTAAGAAACCGTCCAGCCTGCAAAGAGAGCTAAGCCCTGGCAGAGGGAAGACTGGGGTCTTCGTCACAGGACGTTTGGAAGAGCCGGCTGGACCAGCCTCTGGCAGGGATGCTTTAGGCATGGATGAATTTCTAGAGAACCCCCCAAAATCCTTTCTGTTCCTCTTCATTATGATTGTAATTACAGGACTTAAGTCCCTGCAGGGGAGCTGCAAAGAGGATGGAGCTGGGCTGGTCTCAGTGGGGGCAGACGGCAGGACAAGGAGCAATGGGCTCAAGCTGCAGCAAGGGAAGTTGAGGCTGGATATTAGGAAAAACTCTCTCATGAGGAGGGCGGTGAAGCACTGGGACAGGTCACCCAGAGCGGTGGTGGACTCTCCGTCCTTGGAGATTTAAGACCAGGTTAGACAAAGTGTCGGCTGGGATGATGCAGTTGGGGCTGGTCCTGCTTGGAGCAGGGGTTGGACTAGATGTGACCTCCTGAGGTCCCTCCAACCCTCCTTTTCTATGATTCTGTGATTTTGTGACTTCTGCTGGAAGCAAACTGGATTTGGGGCCTTAGGGTCAGACTCTGTTATTTCCCATCTGTTCTTTGTGAGGCAGCACTGCCCGCAAGGCCCATCAGGCAGCACGGGATAAATGTTACCGAGAGCCCCCCGGCAAGGGTCAGATACCTCAAGTCATGCAGTGTTTTCACACCCCGGGACAGGGACAAGCAGGAAGGGCAGGGAGGCTGGAGGCAGCTGGACACTTCCCTCCCCCTTTCCCCTGGAGCAGACGGAGCTGCAGAGGAGCCCTGGCCACGGGGCACGCTCTTTCGCCATCGCCGGCACCGCAGCATACAATGCCCTCACAGAGGTAGAGCTTCACCTTCAATGCAGACAAGCTTTTGCCTCCATACCCCACGTGAAGGCTGTTCTCTAGGCAAGGGCACATGGACCAGCATCCTGCTCAGCCAGCCCCACGTCTGCAGAAACCATTAGCTCCCCTGAGGGGAAGCTCATTCACCCTTTGAGACTGGCAGCGCAATGCTCCCTGGGCAGCGCTGAGGGGCAAACACCCCTTCCCCTCTTCTGTGCACGTTGCTGTGGAGGCCTAGACTTGAAACAAGGGGCCCTGGGGTGTCTCACCTGGCCACGGGCCAGGCAAACACGTCAGCAGCCCGGCCTGGGGGCGCTGGGTGGGGCATGCAGACGTGCCCCATGCAAAGGCAGGAGCAGCAAGCACAAAATGCAGAGCATCGCAGCCGGAGCCTCTGAGCCTTGCACAGCCGGCTCCACCATGAAGCTGCAGGTCTCCTCCCTCCTCGTGGCCCTGGTGCTGTGCTGCTGCTCTGTACGTGATCTGCACGCTGCAGCGAGCAGGGTCCCATGCCCCGTGCACCGCTCGGCTGCCTGCCCCGGGGCACCGGCACACAGGCTGAAGCCAGGACAGGGCACGAGCAGGGGTCGGGCAGACCCGGCGGCCCTTGTCGGGATGATTTCATGTGTCTTTGTCTTGCTGGCTCCTGCTAACTCCCTGGCTCTCTCCCCGCTCTCTGGCCTCGGCCTTCCAAACGCCCAGCTCACTGAGGAGCTCCAGGCCCGTGTGAAGAGCCTCTCTCCAGGGGAGACCCTGTCCATTCAGGGCCTCATGGTAAATCGGGGCTTTGGGGTGGATGTGGGTCGCTTCGAAGCAAGCACGGGAGCAGCAGTCGGAGCTTCGTAGTGTGATCTCCTGGCACTCGGGAGGGGCGGCTGGGCGCACGCAGGTTGTCTTGGTCTGTGTGAAAGCGCAGCATGGGAGACGGGCAATGCAGAGGTTAATGGGAGGAAACCGCACGGTGCAGCAGTGTCGGGCAGAGGCGCACGTGTGCTGGGGATATGTTTCGCCCCAGCTTGGGGTCTCCAGCAAAGAAGCCTTACATCACAGGCTGATGTATGGGCAGCAGAGTCACACCATCTCTTTCCCACTGGCCTGACTACTGCCCACCTCGGTAGGGACGGGGTGGGACTCAAGAGCCCAGGACCCCCCTTGGGAAGTCTCTTAGGGAGAGCTACCACCTGGCTAGGACTAGGACATCCCAGGCTCTCACACGGCTTGGAAGAGGAAGTCGCTCTTCCATTTCCCCCATGCCGGCACCTTGTGACCATCAAGCACGGAGGTCAAACCAGCCCCGGTGGGCAGCGGGCAGCAGCTGCGCCTGGTTAACACGCTGCAAGGGGACGCAGACTGACCGGTGTCCAGACCTGCTTTGAATTTTGCAGCCAGGAGATGCCAGCTCTGGTTCACGGCTCTCCTGTCTTTCAGAACACCTTCACTGGGGTTTTAGGATAATGACCAGATGACCAAAGCCAGATGCATCTTCACATTGAAGAGTTGTGGACAGATGACAGCCCCCAACTCTCCTCTTCTTCCCGTTCACTGCCTGGACTTTCCACCCATGTCTGAGCACCCTGTCCTCTTCCTTGACCTGTTGCAGCAGCTTGTTTCAATAAACTCAAGGAAACGCAGATCTTTGCTGGTCTCCTTTCTGCTGAGGCACACACAATGCTGAGGGTTTATCCTTACAAATGGCCCAGTCCAGGTTGGGATACCCAGGGGTTGTCCTTCTATAGGTCCCTTCCAGCCCTAATGTCTATGATATCTGTGAGAGCTATAGAGCACTTAGGCCTGGCTGCTGGGAGCTGCCAGAGGTCTCCATGCAAGTGGTGTCAGGAGGAGCAATATCATCACCGCAGATGGAGCTGATCCATTTGTGCAGACCCCCATGTGCAGATGAGCAGCACAAAGCCCGAGACATGCAGGGCTCGGAGGCCCTGTAATAGTTTAAGTCTTGGCTGGCAATGGTATGAGACACCCCCCCCCCGACGCTGTGATCCCCTGGGAGAGGAGGAAGAGGGAGCGCTGTAGCCTGCGTCTGGGACATCTGGGTTGCACCCCCTGCACCACAGGTTTGCGGTGTGACCTTGGGCACGTCACTTAGTCTTGGCAGGCTCGGGTCCCCAGCTACGAGGTGAGGATCTCTTCCTCACAGGGGTCCTGGGACACGCATGAGCCTGAGAGATGCTGTGCGCATCATAGCAGGATGGACCCCAAACTGAGGTGGTGGGAAAGGGGTGTAGAAAACCATCCAAACGTAGAAGCTCGGTCCTCCCTGAAAGCTGCAGCACCACAATGCCAACTTTTCCCCAGTTGGCAAAGGACCCAAAGGGCCCCCAACACCTCCCTAGGTTTATATGGACAAGCCTCGGGCCCCCCGAGGTTCTGTCCAGCTCCTTATAATGAATGTGAGCCCAGCTCTGGGCAGCCCCGAGCTGGTCCTTTGGCACTGAGCGGCTGAACTCGCAAGGCTGCTCCATCATCCGGGTGACACAGAGGAGGTTGGAGAGAAGGCCACGTGCTTTGGTTACACCCGGCAGGCATGCCGGGATACAGCTGGGAAAGGGCTAAGCTTTGCTGAAGCCAAGTGAAAATCTCCCTGTGCATTGGACAGGTCCAGGCTCCAGAGAGCAGAAGTGGGACTGCCCCAAAGGCTTTTTCACAGAGAGGAAAAGGCCATCTGCTATAGCCCCAGCTGTAGGGGCATGTGCTTTGGTGCTAAAAGGGAGCTATGCTAAGAGAAATGCAACGCTACAATGCTGAAGGGAGCCACGGCCTCGTTTGAGCAGCGTTTCATTCTGGGTGTGGGCAGCATTGGAAGCAGGGTCCGGGCCATGCTATGCCAAAGCTGAGCACTCGAGCGTGTCGGCGTCTTCCCAGGAAGATGCAGCCTGGTCCAGCTCCGGATGCAGCACTTGGAGGAGCTGCGGGGGTCGAGTGGTGCCTCCTTTGCCAGGGGTCCCTTGGGCAGCTATTTCAAGCCGTGCTTGCAGGAAACAGGCCAGGGCGAGTTCGAGGTGCTTTGAGAATGAACCCTGCAGAGAGCGGCATTAGCACCTACCTGCTCTCCAGCTGTGAAGAGGGGAAGGCACCATGAACCTTTAGGCAGGGCAGATAGGCACCTTATAGACTGACTAAATAATCTATAGATAGAGACACAGCACAAGCTTTCGTGAACGAGCTCACTTCATCAGACAGCATAGAGCAGGGTGTAAAGGGACGGGAGTGATTTCAATACAATGGTGAGAAAAGAGGGAGAGAAGTGGGAGCCCCTGGGAGTTTTGCCATTCGCCTTGACTGGATCCAGGATTTCACCTGAGATTGCAATTTCCCATTCAAACTAGCCTTTAAAACGTCGCTGCCTGAGAACAGCAGTCCCAAGGTCAGAGAGTGAAGCTTAGCACTAGGCATGTCTACACACTGGCTTAAATTTACTGCGCAGTAAGTGGGAATAGGCCGGCGTTTACATGTCCAAGTGTCAAAGCACAGTTACGCTGTGTGTGGATTGACTTGAGACTAAAGTTAGTCCCAGGTCAGTCCACACGTAGCGTTACTGTGCAGTAAGGTGTCTACATGTGTTACTGTGTAATAATGAATCGGGCATAAATTTGATATCTTCATGATGCAGGTATCAAATTTACACTCAAGTCAGTGTAAGTCAGCATATTTACTGCACAGTACAGGTGTGCATGTGTAGACGCACGCCCATACTACGCAGTAATTTTGTTACTGCGCAGTAAATGTGCGTGTGTAGATGTGCCCATGCAATGTGCTGCTCTATGGCTAGCGCCCATCCAGGGCAGAGTGCTCACATCCCCCACTGTTTTGTAGCATGAGTTACCCGTGGCCAGGCCTGGACGGACGAGCTCCCCGGGGGGAGCAGCACAGAGCAGGCAGCAATTCCAGCAGGGAGCAGGTGCAACCATGAGATGACCCCTAACCGGCTGGGTGCAATTAGCAGCGTTTTACCCTGATTCTGGCTGGAGTTATTCTATGCCAGACTGAGCAAAATTACCCTGCTTTAGGGGGTTATGTGCTGCTGGTTCTTTCCCAAGCCTGGTGCCAACGACACGGGTGCAAACGTATTGTTTGTCCATGTTCTCAATAACCCAGTGTCGCTGTGACATGCAGGTGCATTCAGCCACGTGTCCTCCTCCTGCTTCCCCCAGGCTCTGAATTGCCCCCAAGACCATTCCCAGGTGTCAGTATTGACCCTAGACTGAATTCCCTAGGAAATGAGGCTCCTGTGTGAGCTCCAGCTCCTGCGTGGATGTGCCTGGAGGAAAGCACACGCTGAGAACATTTCCCAGGCAGCCCCCAGTGTGGGAGGCTGACAAGCCTCCTGACAGCTGCCTGGTTCACAGCAGAGCGGTGTCAGGTGGGAGTTCAAATGTGCCCAAGGCAAAACAGCGAAGTGTCGGTGGGCAGGTTCATCGCAGCCTGCTGGGGGTTGTGTTGCCGGTTAGGAGAGCCATTGTCCCGGTGCGATGGAGATACGCATTGCCTGGAAACCCTGTGATCACGCTGGGCAGCAGCGTATGGCATGAAGTGCTGTCCAATCACCCATGCCACGTGCACTGCTGGACGTGTGCGCTGGAGCGCATCACGCAGTGCCTGGTGTGACCTCGACCACGACACAGGGGCACGCCGGGCCTGGCCGTCCAGCAAGGATTCCCACAAATCCTCTCGTCTCCTGCCCTCATCCATCTAGTGTCTGTAAGTGCCATTTCCAGAGCAGTGTCAGGCATGCTTTAAACTTCCCAGGGTGGAAAATGAACTCACTGCTGGCAGAAGAGCTGATGTCAGAGAATCCTAGGAAAGGAGGGCTGGAAAGGCGCTAAGAGGGTCACATCCAGTCCAGCCCCTGCTCCAAGCAGGACCAGCCCCAACTACATCATCCCAGACAAGGCTTTGTCGAGCCGGGTCTTAAACACCTCCAAGGATGGAGACTGCACCGCCTCTCTGGGTAACCTGTCCCAGTGCTTCACCACCCTCCTTGTGAGAGAGTTTTTCCTAATATCCAGCCTGCTGCAGCTTGAGCCCATTGCTCCTTGTCCTGTCGTCTGCCCCCACTGAGACCAGCCCAGCTCCATCCTCTTTGCAGCCCCCCGGCAGGGAGGTGAAGGCTGCTGTTCAACCCCCCTCGGTCTTCTCTTCTGCAGACTCAGTCAGCCCATTTCCCTCAGCCTCTCCTCACCAGTCCTGTCCCCCAGTCCACAACTATGTTGGTTGCCCTCCTATCTCCCACAGCACAGACCCC